ATCGAGGTATATGTTACTACACGGAAATATCGAGATATATGTTACAACACGGAAATATCGAGATATATGTTACAACACGGAAACATCGAGATATATGTTACAACACGGGAATATCGAGATATATGTTATAACACGGGAATATCGATATATATGTTACAACACAGGAATATCGAAATATATGTTACAACACGGGAATATCGATATATATGTTACAACACGGGAATATCGAGATATATGTTACAACACGGGAATATCGAGATATATGTTACAACACGGAAATATCGAAATATATGTTACAACACGGAAATATCGAGATATATGTTACAACGCGGGAATATCGATATATATGTTACAACACGGGACTATCGATATATATGTCACAACACAGGAATATCGATATATATGTTACAACACGGAAATATCGAAATATATGTTACAACACGGAAATATCGAGATATATGTTACAACGCGGGAATATCGATATATATGTTACAACACGGGAATATCGATATATATATGTTACAACACAGGAATATCGATATATATGTTACAACACGGGAATATCGAGATATATGTTAAAACACGGAAATATCGATATATATATGTTACAACACGGGAATATCGACATATATGCTAATATATGTTACAACACATGAATACCGAGATATATGTTACAACACGGGAATATCGATATATAAGTTACAACACAGGACTATCGAGATATATGTTACAACACAAGAATATCGATATTTATGTTACAACACGGGAATATCGAAATATATGTTACAACACGGGACTATCGAGATATATGTTATAACACGGGAATATCGACATATATGCTACTACACGGAAATATCGAAATATATGTTACAACACAGGAATATTGAGATATATGTTACAACACAGGAATATCGATATATATATATGTTACAACACGGGAATATCGATAAATATGTTACAACACGGGAATATCGATATATATGTTACAACACGGGAATATCGATATATATGTTACAACACGGAAATATCGATATATATGTTACAACACGGGAATATCGAGATATATGTTACAACACGGAAATATCGAGATATATGTTACAACACGGGAATATCGATATATATGTTACAACACGGGAATATCGATATATATGTTACAACACGGGAATATCGATATATATGTTACAACACGGGAATATCGAAATATATGTTACAACACGGGAATATCGAGATATATGTTACAACACGGAAATATCGAGATATATGTTACAACACGGGAATATCGATATATATGTTACAACACGGGAATATCGATATATATGTTACAACACGGGAATATCGAGATATATGTTACAACACGGGAATATCGAGATATATGTTACAACACGGGAATATCGAAATATATGTTACAACACGGGAATATCGATATATATGTTACAACACGGGAATATCGATATATATGTTACAACACGGGAATATCGAGATATATGTTACAACACGGGAATATCGAGATATATGTTACAACACGGGAATATCGAAATATATGTTACAACACGGGAATATCGATACATATGTTACAACACGGAAATATCGATATGTTACAACACGGAAATATCGAAATATATGTTACAACACGGAAATATCGAAATATATGTTACAACACGGGAATATCGATATATATGTTACAACACGGGAATATCGAGATATATGTTAAAACATGGGAATATCGAGATATATGTTACAACACGGGAATATCGAGATATATGTTACAACACGGAAATATCGATATATATATGTTACAACACGGCAATATTGAGATATATGTTACAACACGGGAATATCGAGATGTATGTTACAACACATAAACTTTGATTGAAATAGAACAATATGTATCAGTTTTGACCTATCAGAATCCAGGAAATATTGGCAAATTTCCAATAGAAAAACAGTAGTCATGGTACAGATTGCCGTGACCTTATGCAACTATATACAAAAAACGGAATCGAAGACAAAAAAAAGTCTGAATTAAAACCAATCAGAGGTCGTGCATCTCGAAGCAACTGCGAAAGAGTCTACATCTGCACATGCATAATAATATTGAGAAGCTTCTTGGTAATCCCATTGGTGGTTTCTGAGAAAAATGTCACAACACGGAAATATCGATATATATGTTACAAGACGGGGATATCGAGAGATATCCTACTACACGGAAATATCGAAATATATGTTACAACAATGTAGCGGCGGAACGTCGTTTGGGTGATTAAATAATAACAATAACCTCCATATCAAGTGTTTTAAAGCCGTTGTGTTTGATTATAAACATTTGTAGTTGAATTCTTGCCAGAAAAGTAAGAATTATCATTCTAATTTTACCTCTACAGTACAGCTGTTTATGTATAGATGTTTTATATATTTGTTTATGTTGTTTTCATAAAAAATAATACTTAGAATATATATGTTTTTGTCAGATTTTCCTTGTATTTCTTTATTCGTTGTAATAGTAAAGGAAATACTCCTCATACTTTTTGCTTTTGTCCAACGACATTTCGTAATACATATAGACTCTTATATTGAAGCAACTGTCACCCGTACATTAGCAGATTAATGAATAGACAGTTCATTGATGAATAAGCAACTAACGTATATCGTTAACACACGTGTACTGAGGACATTTTTAATAATGCTTGATGTATGAGGGATTGTACCATTAAAGCTAGTTTAATTGGACTACTATGAACTGATTCAACCTAGGGTGTTTTTATCGCCTATTCTTTCCTCATTCAGAGCTTCATCAATAACATCATCATCAGGCAACACTGTACCTGTATCTATCTCTACCCGTGTGTCGCTCTCGCTTTATTACCTGGCAACAGGAAGGTCAGGTAGACAGACGTTACCGCGTGTGTGTATGTGTTCAGTTATCAGTGTCACGAGTATGGTATACCTACTGTTGGTACTGATGCTGGCTACAGCTACAACAACAGCACAAACATCAGGTAAGAAAACCACAATACGAATCTTAATAGAAGAATACCTTAACAGTATTTTTATGTCCAAAAACTTTATATTATACACTTGTTTCTATAAAACTTTACGTAAAATATGTACTGGCTATATGCCAAAACTGTTTCTATGTTTGTCTCACATATATATACTGCTAATTATTAAACTAATGTTTAATTTTTGGTAAAAATGGTTATTACAGAGCAAGCCTATTGATGATAACACTTAAATGTTACGAAAGGGCACATGATCTGACTATTTTTGATGTGTCGATATATGCGGCCAAAAGGGTCTTGATTTGTCAGTTGTATATTGCTGAAATGTTATTAAGGTATTTTGCAAATCTTTTAGTGAACCAGTCAAATTTCGTTTTAAGGCGCTGTGCCTATTCAAACTTACCAAACTCATGTTCAACATTTAGTAAAATAAGTACGACTTAAATATGTCCTCATTAATGACAATAAATCTTACTCTTAATCACTGTCTTCAAACATCATTTATGGCGCTGAAATTAGAGGGTGACCATATCAACTTTTAAGAGTGCTTGCTCAACCTGCATTTAGATATTTTGAAGAAAAAAAACAAAACCTAAAAATAATATATTTTCTTTTTTATATTTGATGCTTTGTTGCTTCTTAAATAATTAATGTCTAAGCATGTTCTGAATTTTTTTTGATGTGATGTGAATGTTAAAATCGGGTCTTACAATCAATGGTTACATACTAATATTATCATATTGGGGACATGCATATATGTAATATCATTGAAATAATTCATTTATTTGGTAATATGAATTATATATGTAATATAACGTTGACGTAAATGGTGACGAAGTCTTAAAACATTTGTACCAACATTATTATATATATCACGTTAAACTAAGTTCAATGTTATGTCACATAATGCATGGTAAATCGTTACTGCAGAGAAGATTGTGCAACATGTTTAATATGCACACGTGACGATATCAGATTTGCTATTGACGAACGAGTGAGATAATGTTTCAGTTACTTAACTACACATTTCATTCAATTTGTGTAAGGACATCTTACCAGATAACAGAGTAGAATTGCGTCGATTAGGCAGTACAAAATGGCATCGCACACGTTACTGTTTTCAAGCTTTGAGTAATTAGAATGTGGCGTCAAATGTTATATGAGCATTCTTTTGATTCAGGGTACTTTAGAATGTAAAAGAATGAAAAATGTTTTACTGTTGAGTACTACTTCCTTTTGCATTAATTTGGTAAAAGGTACTGGTATTTCGCACAGGTGAAAAGTATTCTGAATTACATTTTGAAACTTAGAAACTATGCCAGTAACCTGAATTGAGATCTATTTGAATCTCACCTATTTGATACCACTGACTGCTTATGTAATTTTCCTGTTGAGGATTGTAATAATTTCTTCCTAAACTGTTTTCTGTATACTAACAAAGGCGAATTCTCCTTACCTCCATTTCTGTTCTTAATGACACTATTCCATTTAATACTCAGACTTTTTTATGGATGTCGAAGACGCGATATCAATTTGAATATTCATTAAAGATACTAGGCGCTTTTACTAGATTACACTTACTTGTTTATCTTTTCCACATGACTTTGTGTGGAATGGTACCAGTACATAATTGTACTATGTGCTCTGTCCACCAGCATCATTTATCATTTGCCTATTTTTGTTTATAATCTAGTTTCTGAAACAACATTTTTCAAAACAAATAATCATGACATGCAATTATCAATTTATGTATAATGCATACATGTGTTTTGTCATTACTACAATATGATGTGTGTAAACTGTTTGTTACTGTAAGGAGAGGGCTCGCATAGGCTTTGCCTGTTGCCCAATGCCTTTGTATCGAAGATCTGAACAATAAATAAACTGAAATGAAATGAAAAAAATAAATCAACAGGAAACCATTACACGTCCTCTTTATTATAGACAAATTGTATAGGAACACTAACCTGTGTGGGTTACGTTAATCGCGGTAGGTCGTAACCTTGATGGCCACAGTTCTCTTTCTTTGAGAAATGGTAGGGTTCACTTACGCATTATTATTATTTTGAACTTTACCAAGAGCCCTTAAATTGTTGAAATTCATATAATTAAGGGGTTTGATGCACATCCCTTCTGTTTTAACAGTAGTCTAGACCTATTTGGGTTTCGACTTTTCCGCCCCAAACATCAGCGTTGAGATATGCAGGGACGAGACAGCTGTATGGCGCAGTGTATTACATTTGTGGTATATTGTATCAATTTTTCAAATTTGAAAGGTGCACTAATATACGTGTGATTACTTTAATCTTTCTTTGTATTGCATGTAGCACAGACATTTATATTTGATGTCATGCCGGTTGAAAGAGATTATATATTACATATTCCCATACATAAAAATCAGTTATTTGTAGCAGGTGATTGTGCACTAAATGGAATGTAAGTACATAGTTATAAGGTCTTCACACAAATTCTCTGTCGATGCCATTCTACTGGCTTGTTTAAAATGCCCGTATGTAAGCACATATGCTTGTATGGATTTATAAAAAAAATGTATTTAATTATGATAGGAATCATGCAAACTTATTTATTCAGCCGGGATGTGTATGAATAAAGCAATAATTCATGTTCTATATACAAATTAATTTTGCATTAAAGAACTATATAGCTACAAGTTATAAAGATTAAAAATCGAAAAAACGTTTTTTGGAATCTATAAGTTTTATTTTAATAGCGTGTTTTATCTATAACATTGTAGAAATGTGCTTATTGATTTCTCGGCTGTTACAACGTCATCATGGGAAGGTCGTGAACCTTTTCACCTTGTTTTTATTGCGGAAATATTCATATTGTTTATGATTTTTGATAGCCTGCACCTGGTATTAAGCATATACACGTAGATATGAATTTTGATATCGTGACAAAACTCACCAGGATATAGACATACATAACGTCACAAATGAAATTCGATATACGGGAAACAAGACTTTTTTTGTTAAAGCGATCAGAGTGCTTCCTCGGCTTTTAATCTTTTACTGTGAACATTACTGTTTAATCTAATCTTTGTGTTGGTTTTTCACAGAAACATGCAAGTGCCACAGTGAGTCTTCTTTGTGAAATTAACATGTTGAAAGTGATGACAGTCGTCGCTAGGATCGGATATATGGTTACACCTATGTAGATCAATAACGCTGTAATCTGCAATGCTCGGTCACAGAGTTGAGGTTCTGTTGGATTGGAATATATAGTTATCCGTAAGCCACGTGTAAATTCATAATAATTCAAAGAATAAAATGAAAAAATATTTCTCAAATTTTGAGAGATATCCTACTTCCTTTTCAAGGCTAATATTACACACAGGGACGGCATAATTGTAGACAATGCTATACTGAAACATTAGGTACAAACAACAGAACAGATACATTCACGGACAATAAGTATGAGTTTAACCCTTTCACCCCTAATGGTCTTCAGTGATTCGGAGATCGTAAGCTGAATAGTTTGCATACAAAACACAGACACTAGTGTTCACCTAATAAGGACCTCTCAAGAGCCAACCTTATTGATAGGTCAGGTTGCAGGTGTGAACATACAGGTGAGAGTGCCTTTACGTCTTGTCCAGAAAGGGTTGGGGAAAATTGTAATTATAAAAAATTGAAGCATTCAACAAGTCTCTTATGGTTTTGATCTAAATCTGGTAATTGGAACCAGAGCAAAATGCTTGTTGGAAATTCGGCGAGAATCGTTTATTTTTTTATTTTAAAACCCTCAAGTTGAATTTCATATCCTTTTCCCCGAAGGTATTATGTAACTTTCTTTAAAATTCTCTTTAGAAGTCCGGTCTTTGCACTATTAATCATGATAATGAAACGAAGTCTGGCGTAGAGGATCATAACTGATTCTGTACCAGAAATACACTTAAACGGATCACTTACAAATGAAATAAGCGGTTAAACATTACGAAGTACTCAGTAATTATAAAATCCTCAGTGGTTCTCCAGAACTCCCACCTGGTGTCTAGCGTAATTCCATTAACGTGATGTATATTTTACCATTAATGGAACGTTATTCTCAATAATGTTTTAACTACAACTGAGTTAATGGTAGGAAAGTATTTTAATTACTGATTTCCTGAAGCTAACAGCACATGTTTTCGTTGATTGCAATATTGTCAGCGGAACTCTAAAGTGCAAGAACATTTAATTTTGTCTCAGAATTCTGAAGGTATCTTTCCAACTCTTCGTGATTTCTTTTTATTTCAAATCTTCAAAAACACATATACAAGACTAAATGATGCCAAAAAAAGGACACATTTACATGAACCGTTGATTTTGCCGCGAAGAGATATATCTATACGATGTGTGAGGATGTGAGAGACCGATATACGTGTGCCCGATACCCGAGTTTGACTCCAAAACATTGAACTCATGCACCCCTGAAAACACATTTGAACTCTTCCAATTCAAATGTTGGAATAATCCATTCTGAAATTTCAGAGGTAAATGAGGTATACACACGGGGGTTGTAGCACTGATAATCGCTCTTGACGTCACGCGTCCCCTTATCTAGGTATTTCATATTTTATTGTTACAGTAAATAAAATATGGAGTTTATTTAGCTGGTTACTAATTACAATTAATTAAAATAGCCGCGGAGTTGCACCATTATGATAAACTGTGATTTTGATTTTGAGGTTTTTCTTAGTTTATGTCAGTTAAGACTTTTATATATTGTTTATTGCACCTGTGAACAGCTGTAAGCAACATAATATCATCGTCAAGCTACGGTGAAAATCCTGTTAACAATTAATTGTTACCTGTCACTTGATTATTGCCAACTTTAGCGTATTCATGCATTTTTATTCGTCTTCCGGTCGCCAGCTAATGATAGGATCTTTCTCGATTTTCATTTTACAAGTTTTTGTTCGACAGGACATATTTCATGTTAAAAGGGGAACTTAAAGAATGTTCAGTTTTGCTTCCGTGCTGGTATTAATTCATTCACAGTTTTAAGGGAAAAGAAAGGAACGAAATAGGATAGATAAACTAAAGCAAGGAAACCATGCTTGCAAATCATTATTTGATGTTTCGTTTTTTTGTTATTTTTTAATCAACTTAACAATTGTTATATGAACAATTAAAGAAAATGAAAAACTAATACACAACGACAAAATTCTGAATACAAGGTCACTACAAAAAGACATCAACTGAAAAGATTACCAAAACAAAAGGAAATATAAAATTACCCCCAAGAAATGCGGAGGAAGACCTTGACCTCTAGAAGAGCAAGCAGTCTTGTTCCACATGTTACTGCCGTTATGACTCGTATTCGGTCATCATGTCTCCCATACCACCCTTATGTTTTGTATTGTTTAGTTATTTGTGATACGCAGTGCACCAATAGAGAATCGCATCTATTAAAACGAATCATTTAAAACTGTGGTGTAAAAGAAAGAACTGCCTTCCCAATAATCATCATCCAACAACCAATGTGGTGCTCTTCGTTCGACACAAAGAAGGACCACTTAAGTATACTCGGTTGACACAATGGTACAGGGGAAATCTACGCTCCCAGAGAACTTATAGATTGGCTCTCGTTTTTGTTTTTTTGGGTGAATGTTGTATTTAATTAGAGGGTTTTATACTCACCTGCTTCACGTTCAACAATAGTTTAGAACAATTCTAATTTCCCATTTTCGGCCCCTAGCATCACCGACGAGCACCGAGAAGGACGAAACAGCTGTATGATGAAGCGAAATTAGTTTTAGATATACTGTGTATCTTACCAAAATTAATCGGGTACAATCACCTGTTTGCGTCTGAAGTTCATCTTTTTTTGTAAAGTTTTAGTGGCTCATTCGTTTATGTGTTTATGGATTATCTCTGTCGTTGTGTTGTGACCCCACGACTTTTGTTTCCCCAGTTTTGTGTCTTGTATCAACTAGGAAACAGTTTAATGCAGTGTGTTTCATATGCCGCATTCATTTTGCCTGATTTATTAGTATTCCCTTCAAACATTTATATTAGGAAACCACTGCAGTTTCGCCTATCCATCTTGTTTCACCCTAGTTTAGTCATGATGGCATGTAAACTTAAAACGTTAACAAAATATTGATTTTGAAATCCGATAAGCTGCATTATCTTAAATATACGTGTGCTCTGCTTACCTGAGCAGATTTAAAAGAAAAGACCACGTATGTTTACAGTTATCTGTAATCGGTTCTGGTGTTCGAAGCTAGTTTATAATTTTCAGTTAAATTTAAAGTTAACGAAAACATTTCATCCGGTATATTCTCAAAAATATTGAAATGTGAGTAAAGCATTTTTATAATGATAAAATATGAACATAAACAAAAATCAAGGCCAATATTCAGCCCGTCTAGTTGAACCTGGTATTATTCACGACGCCTAAAGGTGAGAATAATAGATCACAATGTTTACCATAGACAAATCGATTATTGCATAATACAGTTCCCAACGAACGAATGAGAAATGTATATTAACAAAGAAATATCCTTGGTGTGGCGGACATTGACTTACTAAGTATTACTATGCACACGTGTATCATGAATAAACTTCATGCTGAAGTTTAGGTGTTTTTACATACAAAATGATAAGGAAACAGGTAGCAATTTCTGTAAAACTTGTAAATGAAAGAGTTAAGGAAGAAGATCGAGCTCAGGTAAGATGGGTAAATCATCATAAGTAATATTTCTGTATAAAGTAGTACGGAAACAATCCGTACACAACAACAAAATATATTAAAAAATGTATATATAAATATATATTCATAAGGACAAGGTTTAAATATATTGTCACTGTTCTATAAAAAATACATATCGCATTTCATTAATTGTCAATATACGAGAACAAAATTTATACCATATTGTCACTATACAAAGACAACATATATATATAAGAATTTAAAAACATAAAGACGAAACTCAAATTCAACGTTAGTGTAAAATGATAAAAAGAAGAAAAGAGAAAGAGAACACACCGAAATAAAAGGAAAGACATCATGGACTCACTTCCAAACACTCAAACTTCATGCAGTGCTTCCTTACCAAAAGTGCTTGCTTGGGTTTGCTTTTCAGGCCCGAAGATTAAAGGTCAAGGTCACTGTTACTATAAATAGAAAATCTGTTTTCGTGCGATAACTTGAGTTTCCTTGGGCCGATCAAACTCAAACTTCACAAAACATCTTGGATCTACCACTCATCGTGTATACAAAACGCCTTTAATCTATCACTCGACTCACCATGTATTCTAAACATCTTGGATCTACCACTTCACTAAAACTGTATAGACTGGACGGCTTCGATCTACCACTTGACCCACCGTGTATACCTCTGAAATGCCGTCTTACTTTAAATGTTATTGACAACACTAGCTGTTTAACATCATAATCCACAAGTTTATTCGTTTATTTATGGGAAACCATCTGACAAATCATACAAATTAAACTTGAAATTGAGACAATGGGTATCAATAGCAAGTTCCCAGATGATGCCATCCAAAAACATAATCTATGATTATTGCTTACTTTTAACATTTATTCTTGAAATGAAAAGTGTATCTATTTCTTCGTAATCTCTCAGCTTCCAGCGCAGGCGACACATCCTCTTCCGTGGAATTCTTGTTGCGTTTTCTAAATGTTTTTTAAGTGGAAATTTGATATGGTGCAAGCATTCTTATTGTTTAGTACGGCAGTTCTTCATATTTCTAATGACGTTTTGCGTTTTTTAAATGTTTGTTAAGTGGAAATTTGATATGGTGTAAGTATTCTTATTAATTAGTAAGGAAGTTTTTCATATTTCTAATGACGTTTTGAGAATATCATGGGTGCTCTATTTTTCCAGGAGGCCGTGGGGTTTTGTGTAGCTAGAGACATTCGTAATATATTTGCAGAAATTGGATTAAAATCTGATTGTTGTTCTTGATCTTCATCTCCCAAATCTCCAACGGACGGTCATGAAAGTCACCAACAATTTAACACCTGATGATCAAGTCTTTCATCACGGACGTTAAAGGAATTGATGACGAATGTAAAGTTTCATCAACGTAAATTCATATCTCCCAGGTAGGAAACCCTGGATAAGTAGTTTATTGGTTAGGAGGGCGCAGATATAACTGATGATTTAAAATATGATAGGATAAAAGAGTTGCGTAAAAAAAAGGTCAAAAGTCAAGGTCATGGTAAATTTGATTACATTCTATATACGTTTCTCTCGAAATGATAGATAAACTACCATTAAACGCTCCCTACCTCAAGACGTGATGTTGAAGTTGAAAAGGAAAACTGTCAAAGGCCAAAGTCATAGATCCCTTGGTTCTTATGTCAAAACCACCATCACATGACTTTAACTGATGCGATGACGTTGCACCCCCCCCCCCCAAAGAAAACCCAACTAAAACTAATAACAAAAAAAACTATCTAAAGGAGAATAGATTTCCCATCGTATAACTCAAACCCCGTCAATGTTCAGATGACATGGATACAGCGTTTTGACAGATATGTGTTATATTCATCATTTAACCCACAAGAGGGTAGACTCTTCCAGCGCATAGTTTGATAGCCACAATCGCATATATCTCTTTTGAGTAGAGGCACGGTTTGTAATATTCACACTTTACTCGTTTATTTAAAATAAATCCGGACTCCTCTAATTTTTATAATTCACATAATATTAAAGGGGTTTTACGCACCGCCTCATTTGTGTCAAAAGTATTTCAGACCGATTTGTTGTTCCATCTCTTTGTCCCCTAGCATTACCGATGTGTCCTAGGTGTTCCCATTTAGTTCTTCATAATGGATTTGCCGCATAAACATTTTATGCCGATAAACTAAGATAGTCTTTATATATATATTTTTTTATATTTGACATTTACTTTTTTGTATAGTTCAATATGTTTTTGCACGCTATTCTAACAACTGTGTTTCCTCCCCTACAGATCATGTGAAACAGGCCCTGGAATATGTATATCGTGTGGAAAACAGCCAATGTACTGGCGGCACCGAGGAGGTCCTGAATCTGTTCTTCAACAACACGGTATGGAGCGTGTACACAGAGCCCGCCATCAGGACAGCCAACTTCCTTACCGAAGTTATCCTCCAGAAAGGCGATCTCCTCTCACTTACGGACGAAATTCTCTTCACTCTCGTCCGGAACAACATCCATGGCAGTGACGTCCTATTTGGGTCAGCCATTGCCGTGGAAACGGGCGTAACGCAATACGACTCGTTTTGTCCATATGCCTACAAGAAAAACGGAACAGTGTTTGCGCACGACATTGCTATTAATTATAATTACAAATCTGACAGCACGGAGTGGTACCACATCCTTAAGGTCACAAACTGGGAAAATGTCACGAGGACAACCGACAAGGTCAGATACAGGTACGTTATATGATCACGTGATCATCTGACAATGCTAGGTTAAGATAAGTAATTAAGGTCATTAATTAAAAGTATAGATATTTCATCGAAATTTTAAGGTCAACTGATGGCGTCAGTTACATATACTTGAAAACAGTTACACGGTAATATAATATATTCATCAAACACGGTAATCTCAAAGCATGCAACATATACAAAGGGGCATATATTTAGCTTCTTTTTATGTTTATATGCTTATTGCATTTTGTCCTTTCAAAGTATAATTCCCTTTCACAATGTACCTTGATGAGTCTTTAATACGTGATTCAATGGCTACTACAATTCATACTTTTACTTACAATAAAATTGTATATAGATTAGTTGCCACCTGTATATTATTTGTATGGAGTGGGTTCACCAAGACTGTGCCTGTTGCCCAATCTATTTGACAGTATGCTATATTTATTAATAAACTAAATATTGAAATGCAATGTGTTCGCTAACTAAGATAAATTCAGGTATTCCATTAGCAATGTCATTCCAAGGTCATAAACGAGACAATAAATTATAGAGTGTTAAAGACATGAACAAAACAGAATGCGTCATCATGGAGAGGGGATGTCACATGATTATAAGTCACTGCGGGTCACGTGATCCATCAACAATGTCACTGAAAGTCACAAAGTCATTTAACAATGTAAATGAAACACACCATGACCAGCAACGTGTTCGAAATGTATTCATCTTGTTTGCTGAATTTGCAATTAAGAGAGAACAAAATACTACTGCAACTAAAAATACGAGTAAAGTCATGTAAAAAGGTCAAGGTTACGAGGTCACAAGGTCAAATACACAAACACGTCTTGTCAAGATGGCGAGTATATCATGTTATTAAATTTAATTAGACTTTTACACGTACAGTTTGATGAGCCACATGGAAGCTGATACATCGACATCATATTCCTTTGATCTCAAATCAAATCTATATATAAGTATACTTATCTCAATTATAGAGGACTATCTAACGAGCGTAACTGTTTTACTCGACAGTTACAGCGTTGGTCCTAATGAGTTGTTTATGTGCTTGTAACAGTGACCCGGTGGCACATTTTCGCTAGGAGTCATGCAAATACTAATGCAAATATAAAAAAACAATCAGGACCAGGTGAAACTCAAATTAGCATTTAACTAAAGTGTTTGTGAATCCATCCTATATTCATTATCTACATCATGCACTGAATTATACCTGCGTGTGCGTTGCTTGATGGCATACTTGATTTGCTAATTTGCACTTTTAGTTATTAGTGTGAAAGAGCGGTCATAGGTACAATTTAATGCCTTTATATGGTTTTTATCACCTTACACTTAATGTCCCGAGCATGAAAAACAAAGAGTTACCCTACAAGACATCTTGGCACTGCTGCGCCATATGAATGTATTTTTTTCATTTTAAAATATTTTATTAAATCAATCAGATTTAATGGGAATCGAGCAACAGGCAAAGCCTATACAAGCCCTCTCCCCGGAGGAGTTACATCTCAAACAATAGCAATATAAAGAACTATGAATATTTACATAATGAACATGCTTTAGGAACATAAGAATTAGATCAGTGCCAATGATGATAGGAGACACCATACACACGCACATGCATGCATTCATGCATCTACTTCCTTTAGTCAATATATCAATATTAAACATTAGATGTTCATAAAGGTTTTGGTCCAAGTTTAGGTGTACATTTAAGTTTGTGTCAAGCTGTAAATGAGACAGAGATAATAACATATTTTGTCTTTGAGTCATATATCTAAGGCAATGCAGAAAGAAGTGACTCACATCTTCATTATTGTAACCACATACGATTTCGAAGTTAACATACTATTATGTTAAAAGATCTAGTCCCTTCATATTCAATAATCTTAGTACATATATCTTCATTATTTTGGGGTATGGCATGATGAACAAGTTGTTTTATGAGTTCACTAATAGATATCAAATTATAATAGTTACATTCAGGTTTATTCCACAAGACCATTATGCTAGGAAAGAAACTGTTGAAATATGCATCAGATCAACAAATTGGTGGTTCAAATATACGTTGATGTCGGACATGATGGGTCATAGCTTCATTGCTGACTATGTAAGGTTCAACAAGTTCAAAAAGATTATTTAAAAAAAACCAATATATGCTGCTGATCCTTTCTACGTTTCTTAAGACTATCCCATCCAATTTCATTATAGATGATTTCATGACTAGTACCTCTTCAGAGACCAGAAACTATTCTAGCAGCATCTGGCTGGATAGATTCAAGAAGATCTGATTCAGTTTGATTACAATTATTCCATACAACACTAGCATACTCAAGATTTGGACGAATATATGACTTGTATATCATTTCGAGAGATTTCCTTTCAACTTTGTGTTTGAGTGACCTAAATATATGCATCTTATTACATGTATTATTATATAAGAAATTGATGTGATCAGACCACAAACCATGGCTGTTAAAAAAAATACCCAAATGTTTATGCTGTTTTACATTTACCACAAATTTGTTAAGAAATGTGAGATCAGGATGCATTTCATCTGCATTTAATTTATTTGATACAAGAAGAGCTTCTGTTTTACTACGATTAAATATGAATGTAATGATCGTATCGGTTCTTTAGAAAAGAGCTATAGCGGGTTGCTATGTCTATTTCCCAAAAGCTATGATCCTCTAGTGCGCGCATTCAACTGTGCACTGTTATGACGCGTCCTCCGGTATTAGTATACAGGTAGCTCTATCGGAATCCCGTGTCTCAGAATAGATCATTGTAAACAGACATATTAATGGCAGTGGCTATTAAAACATGCGTTTCACGATAAAGGCACAACAAAATGCTTATTTCGCGTTATGCTGTATGAAACACATGATTGTACAATCATTACCAACAATTTTGAAAGGATTTAATTTTCATAATTACTGTCTACGTCATGCCGTTACCTGTTTTCTTAAAAACACACATCTTGGTTTCGTTCTTCCCGCCCCCTCCTGATTTTATGCTGCAGTCTTTCTGCATTTAAAACAAAAGCGACCGTTCACGACGATGATTTTTTCCGTATGTTTGGTAATATCCTTTCGATAATAACAGTTCATTTGTTTAGCTTTGCCTATTTTTATTCTGACGCAACAATCCCATATATTTTATATTTCGGCTTCATTTGTTTGTGTTTAATTAATAAAATCAAATGCTGGTACCAATTGGAGAAAAAAACAATTCATAAATATAATTTAAAATGATGTCCTAACTACAAAGCGTAGCTGTACTGTACACGCGGACAAGGAATTGTTGACATGATTTCATAGAAGATAAATCATTAGGTATGATTTTAAAATATCATCAATAAAATATTCCATTGATTTGAGGAATATGTATCACTTAATTAAGGAAAATGATCACATGCCTTAAAAAAAAAGACGAAAAAAAAGTGTATCTGAACGTGGGTTCGGACCTGCACCGTTAATCCTCTATCGAAGTTATGAGAAACTTGATCAACCATAGTTTTCATTATTTTCAGCACTTTCCCAAAGGTGGACCACTTTTCCGTCATGCGATTTATTTTTGCATATTACATATCACGGAATCAGAAAGTTTATTCAAAAGTTGGTCCTCGGATGGGAAAGTATTGAAAGTATTTTTTTAAGTCAGGGAAACTCCGTCACTTTCATATATATAGTGAATATAGCTATATTTGCAGTAATATATCAACAATTTCGAATATCTCAACAGTTCAAAAATTCATATTCAATTGGTTTTATATCTATTCCATGCATTTTTGCTACTAAAATGTATTTACCCATCAATATTTTTTTCCGTTTTCAAAAATGCCGACTTCGGGAAACATGGGCAATTTTCCGCCATAGCTGTTTGTTGGGTTCGTGTTGCAGCCATACCTATGTAATCATGGGTTTGTTCACTACCAGAATGAGATGTACTAGTAGTTTTGTACATCGACATTTCAATTGTCCTACTGAATAAAAGGATACACATGAACGCCTTATGGGAATTCTAGAGGGATAAGTAGAGGTCCGCAATGTACGAACTACACTAGGCTTTCTCTCTATAATTCGTGGTATATGTATTGCGAAGTTCTTATGTATCGCTTTATCACAACCTAGTTCGTAGGTCGTCTCACAAATTATTATCCGTGGTTATAGGGCCTTATCAACCAGCCAATATCTTTCTCAACTCCCTGGGGAGCATACAGTCGGTACTGCCACTTCGGCTCTCACAGCTAGCATTCAACAATGCCGGCACTGCCCAACCACATATTAATTTACAGCTAAGTAGACTGGAACAAGCGGAGTAACGTGTCTTGCTCACAGAACACAGTGCCGTGACATGACCCGAACCTGCAACTCTTCGGTCGCGAGCCCGGCGTCCTACCACTAGACTACCGTGCCCCCTAATATAACGAACATCGATACAGTATGTACGGATTGGTACGAACCTCCGGTAACTAGGCATTGTATGAAATTCGAATTTACTAACAAGTTTTTAGATTCCATTAACATCAGTAATATCCTCGAAGCCACAAGTCCGTGAAAGCTAACATAAAAACCCGTGATTCAGATACAAAAGCTATCTATTAGTACTCTTTACATTTTACATAAGTAACCAAAACACATTGCTTCCAAGCTTTTCAACGACAGACACACGTAAGTTCAGAAAAAAACATTTGAATTCAGATGCTTAAAGATGATTTGTTCAGCATGTTTTTGTTTAACATCTCCATGCAACTATTGTCCAGCTGGACATGTAGTAATTGGTGATCTACATTTAGTATCCCTTGTTTAAAGCCACGGAAGAGTTTAAGTGAAGAGTTCAAAGTATCGAGAGACTCCACTCTAATTTAGAATGTGATTTATTTTTGAGATACGCATTAGTTTCATGAAAGACTATACCAGACAGTAGATATAAAACGAAAGACATGTTGAATCGGCATCGATTTTAAAAAGAATTAGTAATTAGAAACC